TTTTAGTGAACATTTACAGAAAGGATGGGTTTTCATTCATTCATTGGTAAACATTTTTCTCCTCTCTCCCCTCCAATTTATTTTATAATGCATGTCTTGTTCTAGATTGTTGTCTCCTCATTCGTTCCTTTCAGATAAGTCCTCCAATGAGGCATAGTTAGGGCAATAAAACTATTTTTTAATGGTGAGTGAGCTCATGATGCTGTTTTTGTCAAAAACCATAGGACTATAGTGTGAAAAGTGAACCCCAATATAAACTATGTACATAAGTACATATGTACATATGTACATATGTGTTAATAATTGCTTCATCAGCAGTAATAAATGTACCATGAGAGTAATTGGAGACAAAGTGTATGGGGCAAGGAGTAGATGGGAGCTCTGCAACTTTCTATAGAACTAGAATTTCTAAAAAAAAAGATCATCTTTATAAATGCATAGGTGAGCACACAAAATCTTGTTTAATTCATAAAGCATTTAATATTACTAAAAACCCTAATGATCATATTTAACAACAGCTTGAGGAAACTCATTCAGTATTACAACTTAGAATGTCAGAGAATACACATTCCACCCACCCTTGCACATTTGTGACAAAGATTTAGATATCTCCTGTTCCCTGTTGTGTGGTTTCTGCTTTGGTTCTTAATGGTTTCTAATGGGATTGCGAGGATTCCAGTTGGTAGTCACTAGAGAGTAGAATGGGTGGTGACAAACTTTATGGGACTGTCTTCTGGTATCTTAGCACCCACAGGCTGTATCTCTGTCTCTATGAAGTAAATATCATTATCCCTGTTTAGAGAAGAAGAAACTGAGGCCCTGTACAATTGTTAATAACTTGCCTAAGGTCTGTTCAAAATTAAGAGCTATAACTGAGATTGGTGTCCAGGTCTGTTGTAACACTAATGCCTCTAACTCTTTCCATTAACCAGTCTATTATGGAGTGGCATTGACTCTCACAGCTTTCTCCTGCCTCTCTCTCTAGGAGGCAGTTGCATTATCTTTTTTTAGTTGTCTGAGGGACCATAAAGGACCTATGGTAGTGTAGTGCACAGTGTAGTGCACTGCTAACAGAAAGGTCAGCAGTTCAAATCCACCAGCCACCCTGTGAGGATTTACAGCCTTAGAAGCCTGGTGGAGGGCTGCTATGACTTAAAGGCAAAAGGCTTGTTTTGGTTTGGGTAAGAGAGCATAGTGGTAAGTGTTGAAGAGACAGTCAGGCTCAAGGTTCTAATCTTGATTTGATTTTTTACTGCCTGATCTTGGGTGAATAATCTCTGAGTCTCAGTTTCTTCCTCTGTAAAATGGAAATAATATCTACTTTGCATATATGTGAAGATTCAATGTCTTTGCATGTAAGTACTTTGCTTAGTTCTTGATACGTGACATAAGTTCTCTGGGTGATAGTAGTTATTTTTGCTGCTATTTTTGTTGAACAAAATAACAGAAGGACAAAGATGATCAAAAGTACCTTTTACCCCACCCCCTTGCTCCCTCTATTACCATGTAGACAAAGGTCTGAAGTAAAATTAAGGTATTTTCCACATAATTTACTAAATTGAGGTGCTTGGGGTCTCTGAGGAGGATCTGAGTAGGGAGATGGGAGGAGTCTGGATTGTCCTTCCCTGTGGTCACCAGCAGCCCAAGCCCAGATCTCCCACAGAGGAAGCGTCTGTGGGCATTAGGCCAGCCAGCAGCTGCCAAGAGACACAGAAGTCTAGGACTGCACATGAGCAGTGTTCTCAATACACCACACAAAATTAATGCTCATAACAGACAGCTTGGCCTATGGCGAATGTGTTCTATTTTCTGCAGTCATAGTATCTTTGAAGACTTAAAAGCTGTTTAAGCATATGTGTCTAGTGAGCTAGTGAGTTCTAATAATACTGATCTTTTTCTAATTCTGTGAATTAATTCTAATAATTTTCTATCTGTAAATGACTTTCTTTTCCTGCTCTGCTCTCAGGAAGAAGACAGCTTCCTAGAAAAGGTAATGCAGTCCACTGGTGGTAATGAGCTTCCCTCTGCTTGATTAACACTTAACTGTGGTCCCAGGAATGTGTCTCTAGGCTTACTTATTCAGAGACCTCTGACCCTCTGACTCGGTGAGAACATTCCCCCCCACCCTGCCCCTGCCAAGCCCTGCCAGCTGCCTTGGAGTTTGTCTGAAGTACAGGAAAGATGTTTGCTACTTTCAGTGAATCTGACTGCTGCAACTCTGCATGTAAAAGCAAGACGACTCAGGTTCTAGATTTGCTCACTAAAGAGCTGTCTGCACATACCTGAAAATTCATGAGGTAGAGGAGAGTACTGCGTAGCCGTCCTCCATTTCCACTGACCGTTAAACCAGAAGAAGTGACTCTGTTGTAGTAAGGGTGCCTTGGGGGAATTGCAACTAATGTCACAAAACAAAAATGATATTTTTAATGATTTTATAGATTATTTTATTATATCATTTTTATACTATAAATGAAATATTTTTTGTTAAATGGAAAACTCTTTTGCTCTGTAAACTTTTATCTAAATTACATAAAATTTTTAATATAAAGATAATAAACATACTCATTACTCTCCCCTCAAGGAAGAAAAGAGTGACTTTGGCTTAGTAACGACAGTGATGAGTTAAAGAATATACAGAAATAGCCAAGAAATGGAACAGAGGATAGAAGCATAAGGCTGAATGGAACCTTAGTGAGCCATTTGGACCCCGCCTTCAGAAAAAGGAAGGGAATTTCTGCATTTTAATAGAGCGGATATGTAAGGCTCAACAGAGTCAATAAACTTGCCAAAGTCTCGACATGCTTCCTCCACAGTACCTCCCCGCCTCCCCAGTGTCACCCTGGGTTCCACACAAAACTGTCAACTAGAGGAATATGGGATTGCTAAAGAATCTTAACTACAGTATCTGAAGGTGGCCTCCCCATTTGGTGGAGCGTGCAGTTTAGTATATTTGGATGATGGGGACGTTGTCCTAGTATGCTTTAGTTATTAGTGCTAAAGTTACAAAGTGTGGGTCTCTCAGATCCTGAATGTATTTTGTCCAGAGAAGACAAAGTGCCCTTGATTTCTCTTTGAAAATGAGAGTTCAGGATTATTCTTTGGGATTTTTTCCCCCCAAAAGCATTGTCTCTCGTGCATGATCTTTCTCTAGACTTCAGAGACACAAGTATGATGTTTCCTGTTATGATATGGGAATTTGCAAGTAGAGTGGATGGTGTATATAACCTACTGTCACTTTCTTAATCTTTTAAACCCTGGATTTGAAACAGCTTTGCTTCCCAGCCCTTGTCTGTTCATAGCAGGCCATGTTCAGTCTTTATCATGGACAGTGCCTTGTACTACCTTAATGCCTTAGGACAGGAAAGCTCCAGTTGGATGTCATATTGTTTTAAAAATACATGACTCAGTGCTGAATAATTTATAGATGGTTAGTGTGGAGGCATCTGCTAGAGACTTTGTACATGTGTTGCCTTCGGTCCAGGAAGTTAGCAGAATGCGTTCTGGGCAGCATTTTAACTTGGCCATTATATGGATGCCTGCAATTAGTGCTTGCAGGTATCAGAAAGAAGTTCTTAGATGAGTCGTTGATAGAAGCTGTGGCAGCTATAGGGAATATGGATATCAAGTATTTGCATCCCAAGGAAAGAAAGAAAGGGAACAAAATAACAGAAAGTAGATTTTACATGGTTGCCAACTGTCATGCTCTGTTTTCAACCTGTTTTCCCAGGACGGCCCAGCATGTTGTAAAAAGTCACCAGTGCTTATTAAAGAGTGTCATTAAAGAACGACCTCAGCTCTGCTGTCGTTTAAGTTGGTGAGGTGCTGATTTCCTTTCCCCCAAAGCTACATGACTAGGAGTTGTAGAGGACTTTTCAGGTTGCACAGTGGCGTGCGAGAATGTCCTCAAGTTGAACATGCATGAAAGGTGATACTTAAGCTGGAGGCGGGAGAGCGAGAGGCCGGAATTGATTCCAGTGTTCTCCACTAGGGTTTTTCTGAACACTGCCCCTTAACCTATTTCCAACACATTTTATATGACTAGGTAAGCAGAAAGGAGCCCTGGTGGCTCTGTGGTTAAGGCACGTAGCTACTAACAAAAGGCCTGTGGGGCAATTCTGCCCTGCCCTGTAGAGCCACTGTGAATTGCTGTGGGCTTGATGGCAATGGGTACGTCCTCATGAGAAAATTGAGTTTATTGCCAACTCGTTTTAGATTCTAATTTAGTTCTTGATGTAATGTATGCCACTTCTGGATTTTTCTCTTAGATTCTTTCTGAAGAACCTAACAGAAAGTAGTAGAAAGATGGGTAGACGGGGTCAAGAACCCCTAGAAATTTTTCCTGTGTTCTTAATATGGATGCAGATCCTAAACTCCTCGTGGTATTTCTGGCACTTGGTTGGCTGAATTCATTTGACTGCTTTTGGATTTTACAGCTTATGAGTTTTAGTGTCTTAAGTTTAGAACTTCTATCAAGCCTGAACTGTGCATGTGGAGACTTTTCTTTAACTCCCAAGAACTGAAGAGCCTCTTTTGAGCCAAGAAGGAAAATAGTAATGTTTGTGGTAAGACCTGAAAGAAAAAGAAGTTAAAAATAAATAAACACCTCAGTGTAGACGCTGGTGTTGCAATTTGTAATGTATTGGTTTCCAAGTCACCAGTGATGTGTGGACCTTACTGTGACTGTATCATTAGAGCAGTGGTTCTCAGTGTCAACCTTGGAAGAATGTAGGACAGACTATGTCCACGTGCTAAACATAAGAAACCCAAATGCAATGTGTGATGGCTAAGTGAGACCTTTGGGAAAGGAGGTCCTTTAACCATTGCAATCAATGTGGAGTGTCTGCTGACCAGGGGTGTCCTCGATTGAAAAACAAAAAATGCAAATTCTTGAGATGAAGATCACTTTGTACCCACATTAGCAGAACTTGAAGGAGACTAGGTAACATCCATAACACTTTATTCAGAGCTACCTTTAATTCTCATCCTTTTCCATCTGTTAGGAGAAATCTCTTCTGCAGATGGTTCCCTTGGAGGAAGGTGCTAGTGAGAGGCCTCTTCAGGTCCCCAAGGAGATCTGGCTCCTAGTTGATCACTTATTTAAATACGCCTGCCACCAGGTAAGTGGGTGCAGACCTTCTCTGAAACTGTAGAAGCTATGTGAGTACTAAGCTTCCCTACACAACAGCCTTGTCCCATCACCTGAGCTCATGGTAGTACCCGTGTGCATGTTTGAAAGAGGAAGCGTGCAAGCTAAGTAATTCACCTAAGATCTCAGCCTGACCCGGGCTGAGAATGCCTGGCCTCTTGGGCACTCTGTATTTCTGTACATCAAGCAGTCTGTGATACCCACTTTACCTTTCATGTAAGAGTGCAGAATTTACAGTCCAAAGCAGACTTCAACCCGCTTTCTTTGGTTTGGTTCCGTCTTTTTAAATGCAGAACTAGCCATCCCCTCCCTCTCCTAACCCATCTACTCCAAAGACGGAAATGTAAGGATTTTTTTTCTTTACTGTGTAGAAAAGAATAACGTTTGCATGAGTTTGCTAATACTCCATCCTAGATATTCAGTAGTATGAGTATTTGAATATGGAGCTGTGCTATTTGGAAGGCACCCTAGTGACACAGTGTTAAAGCACGTGACTGCTCACTGAAAGGTTGGTAGTTCAAACCCACCAGCCACTCTCTGGGAGTTCTTGTAAACGTTTACAACCTTGGAAACGCTATGAGACTGCTCTGCTCTGTCCTACCAGGGGAGGATTCTACTAGAATGCAGTGCCTTTGAGTTTTTGAGGGAGCGTGCTATTTTGACTTTTCCTTCCATTACTTGTCAAAAGGCTAGAAGTGAAACACCAGCTTCCTGATCTCTCCCCTTATCATAACTAGTCAAGGCCTTTGAGATCATTTTCTCATCTGAAATAAAATTTTAACTCGAATTATAGTAATGATAAAGAAAACCAGTACGATTTTCCACACCTCCATTTCTTGTTATCAGTATGTGTGCCACCCTACCTTTTTGCTTCCTTGAATGATGTTCAGAACCTGTAAGTTGATTGTGCTTGTATTGTTTTGTCGCCTACAATCTGACCTGTTCGGTAGGAGGACCTATTCCAGACCCCTGGCATGCAAGAGGAGTTACAGCAGATCATAGACTGTCTGGATACCAGCATTCCTGAGACAATCCGTATCCTTTCCCACAAAGGCTTAGGAAGCTCGCTGAGCTCCTGGCCCAACTCTGCTTCCCACCTGCGTTTGACTTTCCTGTTTCTCTATCTATTTTCTTCATAATTACTTTTTATTACAAGATAGTTGTCAACTCTTTTTTCCCCTCCTTCTTTTTTTTTAGTTGTCAACTGTTTTTTTTTTTCTCATTTGGTTTTATTATTGAGATTTTAATGAAAGTTTATAGAGAATGTGGATTTCCATTCATTCATAGTTGCACATTTCCCTCCCTGCCCACCCTCCCCTGTTCGCTTTTCTCTTTGAAAAAAAAATTATTTCACTGTTGTTCAATTCCGCCCCCCAGTCCACTTTACTATGCAGCTCTTATTCTAGACTGTGTGCAAATAATACTTAATCATCTATTCCTTTTAAGCAGTTCTTTCCCTCATCTGTTTCAATACAGTATACATTATTTATCCCCTCTTTTCTTAGTTGTCAACTCTTCATAGTTGTTTCTCAGCACCTTTCAGGGGCTTTTGATATCTTTCAGTAGGAGGCTTTTACTAGAAGGAACCAAGAAGTAGGTGCCAGTGGCTTTTACTAGAAATGGCACAGAGGTCCCAGCGCACTGTCCTGTTCTCCTTCAAGTGACCAAGCTGTCCTGCCATCATGTGAACTGTCACTAGGACATGGGAAAGGATAGAGAGTGTGGGCAGCTAGTTTGTAGCACTGATCCAGTAATGTAGCATTCTGCTGGCGATCTCCTGACTCTAGAGTTTGACCCAAACCTCCTGTCAGGGTCTGGTCAATTCTGTAAGATCTCAATTGCAGGATGATTGGGCCAATAAAATACCAAACCCCGGTTCATATCAGTGTGTCCTGAATGATGGGAGAGACAACACCCCAAGGGAGCAAGAGAAAGGGAACAGACCAGGTCTGCATGGTGCCCTTTCTCTGGCGCCCCTTTCCTTTGACTTTGCCAATCCAGCCGGCAGTAATCACTCAGTGGCTGAAGCACTGCTCATTTTCCTGGAAGCCCTGCCAGAGCCAGTCATCTGTTACGAGCTGTACCAGCGTTGCCTCGACTCTGCCCATGACCCTCGGGTCTGCCGGCAGGTGAGTTTTATTCTTCCTCCCAGTTTCTTTGGGTGTTTAGGGCAGCCTAAGTCATACAGAAATCCTCAAGTTGTAGAGCTAACTAGGCTGTCAGCTGTGGGGTGGGAAGAGTCGAGATCTGCACAGAGAGTTGAGACCCATACTGCGCACTGAAAGTTGAGAGTAAGCACGTATTTCCTGTTGAATTTGCTAGGGTGTAGGGAATCTCTGCTGGCCTAGTGAGTAGAGAGTTTTGCTGCCAACCCAAAGGCAAGCAGTTTGAATCCACCAGGTTCTCTAAGGGAGAAAGATGGGCAATCTCCTCCTGTGTGATTTAAGGCCTCTGAAAACCTGCTGGAGGGTCTGCTATGAGTCGGTTGTGATTCCACGACAATGAACTACAACAGTGACATTCAAACCATTGTGAAAATAGGGTAGCCAATTTCCGTTGACCCAAAAGCTGGTGGGGTGAAGGCCTCCTACTCCAGGGTAAGATGGGTGAAGCTGTGGGTGGGATTCTAGCTGCCATTACCAGGAAGGAGGGGAGGGGACACTCGGGAGTCCGTCTTCTCTTTATCTTTGCAGTCTTAAAGTCCTGAAAGCATTTAAATGTACAATAGCTGAGACTACCTCTGAATCAGACAATGACCTTGTAGAGAAAACCGTTTAGTTGGAAAAAGGTGTTAGGCCTGCTCGTGAGGTACATGTGAAGGTGTGCTAGCTGCATGGCCTCGGAAGCGAGTGACCTGGGGCCAGGAGAGTGACCATTCTGACATGGAAGTTACAATTCGGCAGGTATAAATAGCGGAGGATTATGACAGATGAATGGACTCCTGTAAGGGTTAAATTATCAACTGCTTCTATGGGAGCTCGAGAGTCTTCTTACCCGTTTTCCCCCCTCCTATTTTCCCCACTTCCCACTCTCCCCACTCCTTTTTTAAAAACAGGTGATTTCACAACTTCCAAGATGCCATAGAAACGTTTTCCGTTACTTGATGGCTTTCCTTCGAGAACTCTTGAAATTCTCGGAATACAACAATGTCAGCGCCAACATGATCGGTAAGGCTGCTCTCCAGGGGTGGCTGTGTGTAGGCGCTTGTCAGGGACAGCCTGTGCACAGTCATGTCATGGACACCCTACATCATTCACACCAGTGGCTCACAGGGACCTCACGTGTCCAAGGAGAACTGCATGCCACAGGATGTTCAGTGACTGGTTTTTCAGACATAGGTTGCTGGGCGTCCTTCCAAGGCACCCCTGGGTGGACTCCAGCATTTCGGTTCGCAACCAAGCACTCTTAACTGATTGGCTGCCTAGGAGAATCAGTTTCATACATAGCAAATAGCAATCACTTACCACCAACTGTCCTCATCCCCTGGTCCCACCTCTGAGGTTTTGCTTTGGTTACGTCTGACAAAGGGTTTTCCCTTCTTCTCTCACCCTGTAGCTACTCTCTTCACTAGTCTTCTCCTAAGGCCACCACCCAACCTCATGGCAAGACAGACTCCAAGCGACCGCCAGCGTGCTATCCAGTTCCTTCTGAGTTTCCTGCTGGGGAATGATGAAGACTAATTCTCTTCCTCTTACGGTTCTCCGAGATTCTAGAGGTGGAAGAGGTTGGGTTCCAGGCGTTTCACAACAGATTGAAAACTCATGCCATACACAGGATCTGCTGCAGAGTTTCGAGGCTGTAAGGCATGAAGAGTTTTCCTTTTTGATGCAAAAGGAAGAGAGTTTCCTAATCCCTCCTCTACCCCGCCACCATATCCTTCACAGAAAAATACTTTTATTGCCAAGCCAAAGTTACCACATTTTGGTGTTTCTGCGTTTTCTCCTTACACAGCAAAGAGATCTGTATTTCCACTCGTTTTCCTAGAGATGTGTTTGTTGCCCCTCTGCCCAGTTGTCATAATTGTCCTTAGCACCCTCGGCCTAGGCTCTGAGATGCGCCCAATCTAGGTTTACAAGCAGTACTTGCTGTAGCTCAGACTTATCTGCAATACTTCAGCTTATGCACTTTGGCCTGCCCCCTCTCCTGTCACTCCACTGGCATTATCACTTTAAAAGAAATCTAGGTTAGGCTAGTGACTCTTTGGGTCTTTTCAACAGTGAGTTAACTGTCTACACATGGTGGTTCCATGCTTTTCTGCATTTCTACTGCAGTGGTGTCTTCCTGTCTCTTGAACATTGGCCTTTTCATTGGTTTGCACCGAGTGGAGCCCTACTCTCTTGTCTTAGGTCACATTTAGTTGCATAACTTTTAGAGGTCATTGAAGATGGCATCACATTGTTGGGAGAGAACACAATCCAAATGGAAGCGTTTTGAGTATTTTCAGGAGTGAGAGAATATTCATTCATTTTTGACAGGCACTGCTTCCTCCTGTCCCATTTCTGTTATTCTTGGGATGATAGATAGGGTGTCTGTGGAACCCGCCCTCAACTTAGAAATCCACCTCCAGAGCGACCTGTGCACAGAGTGAACAGAGGAGTCTGTGCCCGTCACACTGGCCTCTAGAGACATTGCTCCTTTCCACAGCAGGAGGACCATGTATAGCACTTCCAGCCCCCTCCCCAGTCTCACGAAGTACTGAGAGCCCCTCCCTTAGCAGAGCTGACTCAAGCTCTACTGCAGCTCCTGCGGTAGAGGGTTTACAGCTTCCCCTCAGCTCCCACCATCACATTGTTCAGTGCTGTGGAAACAAACAGGACAAGGGGACCAGCCAAGCACCTTAGCTCTCCCACCCGAGACAACCTTCTGGGCTTTTCATGATTCAAGCTCGGAGGAGCAGCCTTTTTGTGGAAAACAAAATTTTTTTTTTGGTTGTCAAATAAGCCACCAGCCTTGAACTGTACAAAAACTGCCTGATAAAATTGGCTTCCACCTGAGTTTTTATTTAAATCACTCTGAGTTGATTCGGTCTTTCCTGTGAACCTTAAATCTGAGGGGCCTGACACAAAGGCTCTGGGCAGTCTCAGGCATTGGCTTCATGACTTCCAGGACCTCTAAGGAGAGGGCCATGGAGAAACTACCACTGAATAGCCCTTCAGTCCTCCCATCTCTTGAAAGTGGCTTCTGTGGGAAAGACAAGGTACGTGTGTATCTTGCAATTTACCGGCGAGATAACTTTCCTGATTGGAAGTTTGGGAAACAGGAGTTGTTCTTGTTGCCAAATAGCTGAAGATTTGATAAGTCAGAGGATGGGTGTTGAACTTGGTTCATGGAAGACTGAGGTCATCTGCACTAGGCCGGAAGTAATTATAGGAGAGGCAGATTATAGGTGCTGGGTCAGAGTAGTGACATAAAGACAGGGATATGCCTCTCCTAGGCATGTTTGCTAGCACACTGCCAATCTGGGGTCTTTGAGAGCCCAGAAGTGTGGCTGGTGGGGGTGGCGTGCGGCATGTGTGCAGCTGACCTTTGTAAGGTGAAAGCATCAAGTTGCTGTACTGCCTCTATCTTCTTCCCAGCTCTGGCCAGGGGATGTCTACAGGGTTGAGGGTTTTTGACAATCTCTAACTAAGGGAGACAAGAACTAGAGCAGGCAAGGAGTCTGCTTCCATACTGTGCCTATGCCAGGACCCGAACCTGTAATTCCTAAGTACCTCGAATGGACTGTTTCATAGCTCCTCTAAGGTATGGTTTCCAGTCCAACTGGTCAAGAAGGACTCTTCATTGGTCAATTGTACGGATGAGCTAGTTCAGATCCTAGTGGTGAAGTCACATTAGTCTCCCTTTCACTGTTTTCTGATTCCTGTTCTGTAATTGTTATATTTCCCCCAGATGTCTTGGTCACTAAGCAAAGCTGCTAGTGGGATTCTGTATTTCATGTTACCATTTTTTATTATAATAATTTATTGCAATTTTTTTTCCTGAATAAATATATGTTGTGTGGAAAAGTGTGGTCTTGGTGGAGGAGAACTGAGGAGGGAGACTTGTGTCTGGGTCCCACTTGCCATTGCTGCGATCATATGGAGCCAGACCTCCCTGTACTGTCATTCCTGATGCATTCTAGGGAAAGAGCAGGAGGAGCCCTGGTGGCACAATGGATAAGCACTCAACTGCTGGCTGAAAAGTCAGAAGTTCAGACTCACTAGCCACTCAACAGATGAAAAGACGAGACACCCTTCTTCCATAAACAGAGCTCTGTAGCCTTGGAAACTCTGTGTTCTGTTCTGTAGGGCCATGAAGAGTCAATTGATACTTAGCTGGCAGAGGAGTTACCATGATCATGAGGGCAGTTTTCACAGGGCGAGCCTTATCCATTGCACTCCAGATGTGCTGACTGACCCCTGTGATTTCCCCAAAGGTAGGAAACTCAACTGCAAAATTTGTGGGAGTGGGGGACTGCACTTTCCCTTTTAGGAAAAAAAAATCAGGATTGACTTGATGATGATGGGTTTGGTTTTTAGAGATGAGGAGAAGCCATACATTTTTCAGGGGCTAATAACTCATAGGAGTAGTTTTCCCTTACATGACCCATGGGACTCACAGTGCCCACTTACATTTTCTGCCTCTGGAGTTTACTGGGACACAGTTACTCACTTTAAATGCATGTTGACGTCTAGTGGGAGCATATAACTGTGTGAATCTGAAGAAACAGGCCTCATTCCACCAGCATCAGAGACCCACTCAGGATATATGTGCCCAAATAATTGTATCCAAGATCATTTTATGTTAAAAAAATTTACCACTTCATTCAAAATGCCTCCCATGGCTGAAAACATGTAGTTTCAACAAAATTTGAAGCAGAAACTAGCTTGGTCTTTTTAAGGGTTAATCGATTGCATGCAAATGTCACACTGGTTAGAGCCCAGAAATTGACAAGTCAGTTACTCATTTGGGGAGAAACCAATTCTCCTTGAGAACATAACCTTAGCTTAGACATAGCCCTCAAAGATCCCTTTTCCCCAGAATCCATTTCACAACTTTTGAAAACCAGGTCTGAACTCTGATGGCCTCTTGGGATGATGAAGTCTGTTGACTTTTGGGTTTGTGGTAGGTTTTACCTCTGATCTGAATGGAAGCACCCAAAGAAACCCCTGTTGTTCCCCTGCCAGTCTCCCTGACAAACGTGGATTTGGGTTCGAGTCCTTTGAGACTGAAGAGCCCTCAGCTGGAGGTTTCTTCTCAAAGCCCGCCCTCTTTCGATTGCCTCCAGCAGGTTTGACCCTGATGAATGTGCTGATTCAGTGTTGTTCTCAAGTTTTTCTAGCCCCACCCAAAGCCTTGGCAGAGGAAGGTGTTTCCTTTTGAGAACAATTCCCACACACACACACACACACAGCATATAAAACTGACACCCGGAAGGTTTTACCAGCAGCCTGCAATTTGGCAAAGCAGCACCTGTGGCCATCCATTCTAGGATCTGCATCCCTGGTCTGGGCTTCCGTTATAGGGAAGGCCAGAGGGGCTTGCTGATGGCAGGACAAGCTGCAGATCTGGCTCGTCGTGCAGTTTAACAAGCTAACATAACAGAAGAATCTTGAAATGGTAGAGAACCTTGAAGATCTAATCCAGTCCCCTCACTGTATGAATGGGAAAGGCAGGCCCATTGGGGGACAGGGATTGATTTAAGGTCCCTTAGGCTAATGAGATGGGCAATGAATAAAGAAGGCCAAAGAAAAATTGGTATCTTCCAATTGTGTTGTTAAGATTATTGAGTATACTCCTTGGAAACTAGGATTAGGAAGCTCCTTCTCACATACTTTGGGCGTGTGACCAGGAGGGACCGGTCCTTGGAAAGGGCTCAGAAGAGTGGAGGGACAGCACAGGAGAGGAAGAAGACCCCGGATGAGATGGATTGAGACAGTGACTGGGGCGGCACCTGACAACAACAACAACATAATGGCTTATATAGTCTAATGGAGTATAGTATAATGGCTGCCAAAAAGCCCAAATTTGTCCAGGAGGAAGTGTAACCAAGGTGCTCTTTAGAGGCAAGGATGATTACATTTCATCTTGCTTTGGGCATATTGTCAGAGGAGAGACCAGTCCTTGGAGAAATCATGCTGGGAAGGGTGGAGGGCCAGCAAAGGAGAGGAAGACCTTCAAAGAGCTGGGCTGACACAGTGACTCACTGTGGGCCGAAGCAGAGGGCGAGGTTCTGATCTACTGCGTCATGGAGTCGCTCTGAGTCTACCTGTCTGCACCTCACAACAACAAACGTTAGTGAAATGGCATAGCACAGTGGGAAGGGCGAAAGAACTTAGAGTTTAGTCCTGGTTCATTTTTCTGCCTTTTATGAAGTTTGTCAAGCATAAAAGTTGAAGGATACAGTATACACCATGTACCTGTCTGTAACTTACCCTGACCAGTTTAAATTTACCACTTTTGCTTTACCTCATAGAGCTCGTTTTCTATCTAGACTACACCACTTCTAGCTGTGTGTGTCCTTGGGCTAGCTAACCTGAAGGTTTACTTAATAAATCAAGTGGTACAACTCCCTCTGAAAACCCACCAGAGGGTCAGCTCTGGGTCGGTTCCAACTCGACGGTACACAACCATAGTACCTGTAAGGGAGCTCTGGTGGCCTAGTGGCAAGAAGCTGCACTGCAATCCCGAAGGCATGCGG